TCCTTGATGATTTTTGGGGACTAAAAGGTGTCCTTGGAAGGCTCTTTGTGGGTAATGGCATTTCATGCTGAACACACAGGGGAAGGAGACCTCGAGGAGAGGGAGCAGAACCTCCCCTGGCTCTCCAAGCAGGGGCTCCTGGCCATGAGTGGGATGATGCTCTGGAGGCAGCAGGTGTGTGCTGTGCTGAGGATTCACCTGCTCAGGCTCAAGCACGATGGAAAATTCCTCAGGGGCATGTAAGTACCAAAGCTCCCACCTGCCCTGGAGCAGCTCAGGAGGGGTTTGAATGCTGCTGGAGATGTTTGGAAGCAGAGAATTAGGTGGGAAATGCTTCAAAGCTGCAAAAACAGGGGCAGTCTGGACTTAGCAGGAGAACTCTGGCTTGCTTAAGTTTTAAATTTCCCCATAAATCACACAATTACTTCTTAGTGGATTTCCCCTGGCCTCATTTATTGTCTGTTTTTCCATCTAGATTGCTGTTATTTGGAATATTTGTCCTTCCACCACTGATGGTTTTAATGATGTTTCATCTGTGGCACACTGCCAGCAGCTGGGAAATCTCATCTAGCCAGTATTTTCTTCCCACAAAAGAGAAAATTCAAAATAGGTCTACAAACCTCCTCATCTTCAATGACACAGGTGAGGAACAACATGTGAGGCTGACTCACTTTCTGCATCAATGTGAATTTTATTATAATTGACAGAGCAACCTTACAAATGCCAGAGATATATAAAGGAATGTGCATTGAGAGGTGTTTTATTTTGAGCAAAAGCAAATGCAGTTCTAGTGATGATATATATAATATGTAAAAGAGTAATGAACCAGGAAATCTTTAACAAAGAGCAATAAATAAACTAAGTTTGAAACTATATTTTGTTTAACCAGTTGAAATAAATAGAAAAGATACACACAATATGTGTTTGCTTAGAATTTAAATATTTGGGGTTTTTAACATAACTCTGCTTTGCAAGCAGGAACTTGTTTATAAGAAACTGTTTTTATTTAATGAAAAAAAATCCCTCTAATGACTCTAATTTCTGTCCTTGACTTGATTTCAGGATCAGAAATCGAGGATTTCATTGCTGCTTTGAAGATTCAAAACATAACCCCAGAAATAGCCTTGGAGAAAAACATCACAAGCCTTCCAAATTACAATGGAGCTATAAAAATATCCCTGGAAGGCAAGGTGAGGGATATTTTTTTTCCCTTCTTTCATCCTGCACATCAACAGGATTTCCTGAGAAGTATTTAAATGAGAGAAATAAATGCACCTGTGGCCATTACATTCTCTGGAAAAATCCCCTTGCCCAGGATTCTTCTCCTGGGAAGATGAGAAGCCTCAGAGAAAAAGGAAAAAAATTCTTATCTCATTTGCTTCTCCTGTGTTTTGCTGCTTTGGAATGGGTTTGGAGATTGTTTACCCACAGGTGATTATTTTGTTGGATTCTGGTGTGAGTTGTTTTCACTCTTTGGCCAATAAGGGCCAAGCTGTGTTGGGACTCTGGAAAGAGTCATGAGTTTTCATTATTATCTTTTTAGCCTTCTGTAATTATCCTTTCTGTATTCTATGACATGGTATGGTATGGTATGGTATGGTATGGTATGGTATGGTATGGTATGGTATGGTGCGATGTAATATAATATAATATAATATAATATAATATAATATAATATAATATAATATAATATAATATAATATAATATAATATAATATAATATAATNGCTGGATGTGTTTTATGTGACAGTGACCACCCAAGCTGAGCTTGGCAAGGGTTAAAACTGGGCTGGTGTGTCCCTCCAAGGCTTCGTCATGCTCCTCTCTAGGATAAAGCAGTCTTTGCTCGTGCTCCTCTCTGGGATAAAGCACTTCCACATTATCTGGCTTTGTCTCTATGTCAGCAAAACTCGGTTTATTTTCCATAATTTTCCTTTATTTTTATTGTACTTGCTGCTATTCCCATTTCCGTATTATTCCTGTGCTGCGTGGGAAATACTCCAAAAACCACAAGAATCCAGCACTAAAATAATTAACCATGATGTTGAGAAGAAAGGCATTGGTTTAAAAATACTTTAAAAAAAAAGACCTTCAGGGCTAATCTGGCTTTACTCCACTCAATTTATTATTAAAATGTCTGCTGAGTTCAGAAGGAGCAGAGTGAGGTCAGTCTGCTGCACTCTTGCAAATCCCCCTAAATCCTTTGCATTCCCTCCTCCTTAGATCGAAAAGCCTTCCTCTCCTGTGGGAGATTACAGAGTGTTGGCTCATCTCTCTACTTGAAGAGAAAGTGGGGAATTGGCTATCACTTAAGGTAAAACCTTTTGTTTTGGTCATCAGTCTTTTTGTGAAAAGCTTCTTCTTCTCATATTTTCTTGTAGAGTCTGTGTTCTGGTAGAGTTTATCTGGACAGTAATAGAAATCCTGACAATTCATTTTAGAAGAGCTTTAAGGCTGCCAAAATTTCCCTGTTTTGGACAACAAGCCGCCTTTCTTTGGAACCCAACCCTGAAAGCTCTGAGCACGCAGCTAAAATGACTTTGCAGTGAAAGGGGACCAGAGTGAGGTGATCTGTGGTGCCAGAGTGATGTTCAATGGCTTTGCTGCAAAGTTCTTTTTCTTCTTAGGAGTTTGATTCCTGAGTTCTTGGTTTAGCAGCATTGTCCAGGATCGTTATTCTTAACCTGAGCCATTTTGTGCATGCATGGCAAAACCAGGGGCACTGCAGATGGCTGTAAAAATTCCCACTGAAGTTCTGCCCAGTTTTGGAGGTTTCCCTACGGGAGAATCACCACTGGCTCTGTACCCAAACAATTGAGACACACATTTTTTGTTTCTTATTTAACTTTATAACAATGAGGTTTTTTTTAACAGGATGCACATAAATGACCTGTGTGACCCAGAGCTTGTGTCATCCGTGGTCAGACAGTACATCCCTGGCGCTGTGCTCAAGGGACAGAAGAGGGATGAGCTGTGTTTTAGGCTGCCTCTGGAAAACACTGACAGCTTCCCAGGTGAGAAACCTGTCCCTATGCCAGGGTTGTAAAGGAAAACCCACTGGTGGGAAAAATCAGAACTACTGTGAAGGGAATAATTGTATTCCTTGGTCCATAATGTGTGGTATTAGGAAGATGCATAAATATCCGTTTTATGGAGAGCCTTTAATGCACATGCTAATATTAATAATGAAGGTGAAAAAAAGAAAATCTGCCAACTAATCTACAAACTAAAATCTACTGACCCTCTTCTGTTTTCATGGTCCATGAAAACCAAAACCACTGAATTCTCCACTAGTTATCTCTAAAGAACACAATAAATTAGTGATGACTTGTAGTCGTGGCGATTAACGACATGAACGCTGGAACGCCCAGTGTTAATTGGCTGAGTTTGTTAATTAACATTGGCTGAGTCTGGTTGTTTCCCCCATGCAGATCTGTTCAGCCACCTGGAGAGCAGCCTCCTGCAGGGGGTGGTGAATTATGAGGTGACCAGGACAACCCTGGAAGATGTTTTCCTGAAGCTGCAGGGTGAGGAAGCCGTCGACCCTGAAGGTAAAGCCTTCACTCCCTTCTGCAAGCATGGCATCCCTAAAGTTCCATCCAAATGTGTGTTTTAATTGAATATTTAATCAATTTCTACTAAATGGGAATATTGATAGGCCTAGAGTGGCTTAGTTGTGTCCCACTTGCCTTCAGTGGGGAACATCATCTTGGAGAGGCGCAAATTATTCAGTCTTTGCTTCCCAAAGGGTTTCAAGCATGAGAATTAAGGCTCATGTTGGAAAGATATTTATTTACCTTTGAAGGGTTGCACAGCCCAGACCAGGAGGTGGGAAGGGATAAAGTTTGCAGAAGGCCCTTCCCAAGGCCAGTGAAGATCTGGGATGTGTTCCCACACCAGCCGGTCTGAATTCACCAACATAAATTCTATTCTGGATGAATTATGGCCCTTTTTCTCTGCGCTTCTAACTCTTGCCTCTCTAAAAAAAAAAAAAAAAAGAAAAAAAAATTTAAAAAATTTAAGCAATTCAAAGCGTCCCTCCGTTCAGAGCAGAAGATCCTTGATGA